TTTTAAAATCAACAACATTCAGATCCGAGAGGAAGTTTTTGTTGTACTTAGTTCGGAGTCGAATTGTTAAGTTATCGAACGGACAAATTTGAGGCCTCTAGCAATGTTCGGCTGGGAACAGAGCGGGCTGTCTGTAAGTTTTACAATTGTGAAACAGTTTTCTGTTTTCTTTTTGTTTGAGGTTTCTTACAATTACTTGCGTAAGAACATTTAATAAAGAAAGCTATATAAAAGCTCTTTCCTTAAATTTCCCGTCTAACAGAATATGTAAATTAACTACATTCATATTATCAACTTGACTAAAATTTACATATAAGTAAAGAATTACATATAAGTAATTGATTCATTGGACAATTACTATGTACGATGAAAGCTCAATAGTATCAAAATGCTATAGAACAGTTACAGGCTCAGTTATTTGAGACTGACAGGCGTATAACGTTTCATGAGTATGAGTGACGATTAAAGATAATAGATTTTTTTAAAAAAAGCAGTGAACAATTTTTACAAGAGAAAAAGCAGAGAAGTTCAAAAGAGGAAGAACGAAGAACAAAAATCAATCTCTATTGATTTCCCTACTAAAACTACTGGACATCGAGAGTAAAGCATTCGCTGTGCGCTGTGAGTCGTGCAATTAAAGAAATATCTTATGTAAAAACAGGCATTAGCGTTCTTGTTTTTAATTCTAATCTTATATCTTACGTGGGCTGAGCGTAACTGGAATCATTCGGTCATTCCACACGGAAACCCGGTAGGTGTTGGCCATAATTCTTTCTCAACACTTTTAAGGTTTACAAAGGATGCGCGGGTCACCGAAGCCAGGTGCCAGGCGCGTGCGCTTCCGTTTCCGCGGCAACGGTCCACGTCCGATGGACAGGTGCTATTGATTAACGACGGCTCGCTATCACTACACGTAATAGGTCATCAATATGTGACTGAATATGTAGAAGATGCAGTGGAGATAAGACATCAATAACAAGAGAAGAGGTCGAGGATCGAAGCGGAACGAAGATCAACCAATATCGAACAAGTGAAATATTTTTTCAAAGCATACTCCTTATATATATCTTATACTTTTGTGATTAGTCAAGCTTGCAACGGGTGTCGTTAATGTTGCTTATCTTAGAAATAAAATCAGCACAAATACAAAAGATAATAGACGTATAAGACATTTGATTAAATCCGATTAATAATTAACTCACAAACGATGCCTTCATATTCACGGAACTCAATAATAATAATAAAACAAACATTCAATGGATGTTTTATTTGACTTGACTTTCATTAGATTTTGACGACCCAGTTGTCGTTGTGGATAATGAAATTGTCTCTTGCGTCAGAGCTTGTGGGTTCGATCCCCACTAGTGAAAAATATTGTGTGAGCATAGTGTTTTTCTAGTCTCTGGATGTTTATATATCCATAATGTGTATTTTTTTGTTGTTATTATTTATTAAATGAAAAATACGTTCAAGTATATTTATCAGTTATCTAAAACTCATAGTAACAACAAACTTTGCTTAGCTTAGGACTAGACAACGTTGGGTAAAAATATGACCCGAAATTATGCAACACTGTTTTAACAGTCTTGATTACAAATGCGTGAATTGCTAGCTTCAATAATGCAGAGACGTGGACGTTTGAAATTGTTTTTGGTCGCTAGAACATGATGGGCTCATGATCCTGATTAGATAAAATGGTGAGCGAGGGATTATGAAGAGTTTCAGGGTAGAATAAATAATTCGTGCCTATAAAAAATAACTACATATGTTGATAGAAGAAGTGTTTTAGTTCCATTTGCTTTGAAATGTATATAGATAGGTTCGATTGTTATTACGATTGTTATTCAGCGAACTGATATTGAATTGTTGAATATTTGTTATAAGAAAAACTAGCAACTTGCTACGGCTTCGCAGGGGTAGCAATAATATTTAAAAAAATCTATTGATCCGATTCATACCAAATTTCATAGGATTATCTGCTGGGCAAATCAGAAGATATCATGCCTCGATTTCAACAGAATTGTTCCAGCCGTTTTGGAGTCCAGTAACATAAATTTACAAGAATGAATTTTATATTTTGTTTTGTACTTTGATATTAGTGACAACGTTTTGTGTTCTAATCTAATTTACCGACTATTTTCTATTCATATTTTTGTACTTTATGTTTCTTTCTTCTAAGATAAAGAAATAAGTTTACAGCTAGATTAAAATGGATAATCGTTGTATATTTATCCCTTTTAGTATAAGATATTTGTACAATAAACATCGTTGCAGAGAAGATTCGCAAAGTTTTATGCATCACACGCTGTACTTTAAAAATTAAGGAGCAAACTGCGCGAACAAAGTGAAACGTATTGCTTAACAAAACAAATTAAAGCAAGGAACACTGTGGGCTTCCTATTATGAGAAAAGTTGAAAGTGAGCGGCGCGGACAGAGTACGAAATAATTTAATAATGCTCCGCGAGAAGCTCGCGAGCGTCTCTCCCTTATAGTGTGGGAATAACAAAGCTGCCTCTTGGAGTCACGTTGCTATCGGGGCAGGAGTGGAGTTTCCACCCGCTGAACACCACTGCCCAGCCCGGCGCGTATTGTTGCCATTTCGAAAAATCCCCATCGGCCTGTAGCGGTTAAGGCAGAGGACCGTCGCGCCGGACAAAGGATGGCCGGCTGGCGGGAGACGCACCGCTGCCTCCAAGCAACTCAGACGGTATTATCTGTACACGTGTCGTATGTTTTCTTCATTTTGCGTACACAACACTTCGTATAAAGTTAGCGGCTGCGTAGAAACGTGTGTACGTAAATTTTCAACCCCCTCTACTGTGAATGTATCCCGTCTGCTAGTATTATGTATTCGATTTTCTTTTAGACGGAATCCCGGACTCAGGAGACTGTTTGTGACTCATCGAGTCGTATTGAAATTTATTGTTTAGCGGTAGTTTGTATTTTAAAATGCCTATTTTTATTAGCAAGATATAAAGCAATAGAAACATTTATGTTTTACGAGGTTTCCGAATGCATTATGGTGAGCCTGGTCACTCTGGAAATGTCTTGTTCTATAAAAATCTATTGTTGATATCAATGTAGTAAAGCTCAAACACAGAGCTATAAATTGAAAATATTCAGCTTAAGTCGGTGCGTTCAGAAATATGAAACATTGCATGGAATTGCGTGACATTTTCTATAGGAGTTTCCAATAACACTTGTGCCCGACTTTTACTTAAGACCTACATATCTCTCAAAAAGGCTTACTTGTTTTCATAGACCTAGTCTGCTTAATTAAGTTACATAGTAAGCGATCATCTAAAATCGACTTTGGAGAGGTTTTGGCAGCCCAAGCTTTGTTGATGGGTATTTTAGTAAACATTTTTCATGTTTTCTAATTATTTCTGAACATTCAATTCAATAATTATTTTTGATTATTCATTACTAAACAGAGGGCAACGTCGTATATACACCATCAAAAGTAAATAAAATCTAAAGGAAATGGCCCTATCTGTATTTAAATAAGGAGGGTCGTAAAAACGAAACAATTAAAAATATTGTTTACGCAGCCGTTTCAACACTGTGAACGAGCTGTTCACTTAAGTTTCATGTTACGTGTTCAACGAAGATCAATAACCGATATCGAACAATTTAAATATATTTTTCACGTTTTCAAAGCATTCTTTCAATATTTTATGACATGTGAAGACTGTTTTCCTACGTACATATGTACTTGTCATACAGTTAAAGTCAAAATTTCTTTGTTCAGTGCAGGCTTGTTTTAAGCTGTCATTATAAAACAACTAGGTGTATATAAAATTTCGTTCCAATTATGGTGTTAACTAACGTATAAACATGTACAAGTTTGGTATGTCTATGACTAAAAGGAAGAGAGAAAAGAGATAGGGAAATAACAATTGCACATTTTCAAAGTATACTCTCAGTAAGTATAAGTTTTGAACAGTATGTGACGAATGCTGTAATACCTGTCATAGTGTATGATGCTATTTGCTCTTATTAAATGTATAAATATTTACACTACTGGTTAGTCTATAATAAAAAATGAAAATGAAGATGATTGTAAAACAAATTATTAATCTACCACTGAAAGAGAAGAATATTTCTCAGTGTTAGATGTTATCACGCAGTTCAGCCTCTCGCGGAATTCTGAAATAGTGAAACGAACGTTGGAATGTAATGAAATCCGTAAATATAGTTTAAATAATGTCAGGTTCCTAAAATCGTATATACAATATGACTATATTACGCAAAGGTTAGAACTTCACGGTAAGTCTCCTCCGACTGGTTTTCCGGCTTGATTTCTTGGAGGGGCTTGGCTTCTAAGAAGTAGTGACTTGGTCTGCCATAGTGAAGCCAAGACCCTTACTGGGCCGACCTGTGGTGTAAAGGCAGCCCGAGACGTCCGCTCTGAAGTATACTACTCAGGATGGGTGCAAGGGGTTGAGGTGGAGCCATTATCCCTGTCCTCTGTATCCAAGGTGGAGTGGCGGGGGAAGAAGAGTGTTATTGCGATACGCCGTTCTTTCTACTTTCGTGATCGAAACGTCGTGAGTGGTGGAGCCACAGACCAGGTCCGCCGCTGTGGGCTGGGAGGCTTAGTGCTTATATGTTAGTGTTGTAGTTTTAACCCGTATTTAACCCATTTCAGTAAAGAAAATGTAGAGTCATAATCATGCGAAATAACCGAATAGACGAATATTTATTTTTATCTTTGAGATAATTTTATTTAAATCAGTCGGCAAGACAAGCTTTTTTGTGACAAGCTTCGTCTGCGACTGTCCTTGCGTTTTCGCTTTCCCAAATCAAATAAAATAAAACCGTACGAGACAGCACATTTTCATACTAAGGGTGAAAACGCTTGAACCGACAGACAGAGCGACAAAGAGAGTTTGTGTATAACCATTTAAAATATACACGGATTCGACCTTCGCTACTCGGTACCGCGACTTAGTTAGTGACGACTTTAATCGTCCGCATAAACAACATCGGACCCTTAAGTGGACCTAATTACTTCGCGCGAGACGGTCGGTAAATTACTCAGACGCGCCTCTTGTTTTTTCGTTCCGTTACGCGTAAAAAAGGCGGGGAACCGCCCGCCCGTTCGGCCGTGATGGACGGTGGAGTCGCGTAATTGGGCGCCGAAGCCTAACGCTAAATAGCATACACGTGTATCCAGATCGCCGCTCCGCCTGATGCCCCATTGTCTGGGCCTGTGAGCGGGGTACGCGATAGACCGGCCGTGTTGCATTGTGTCCGCTAAGTGGTATACACGGCCGCTATCGGGCCGCGTGAAATATTGTTCCGGCGCGAAGAGTCGTGTTAGACGGTAGAGTGTGAGCGGCGGATAACCGACGATAGTAATCATGGACCGGTGCAAGACTTTGGAGATTCAATTCGTGTTTCGAAACCGATGAGATGGGGTTACCGATGCGTTGACTTTTGAAAATTGGGCTCCGGCTACCTCACTCACCAGACGAAATGCGAAAGTATTTTACATACTTCCACTTTACGCTGGTCTTCTGTGAGGTCGTGGTACTTACCCGGACGGGCCTGCCCATTCGTGCAACAGCTGAGGCTGCTGCGTGGCCCTACCACCGTACATTTTTATTAAAGACTTTCAAGGCAACATATACCCTTGTTAGAGAGGTACTGATGTACATATCTCGTAATCTAGTAATATGATTGGTTAAACATATTTATATCTAAACTCTATTAAAATTATCCACGTTTTTTTTATATTATTATCATCATGTATTAGTTTATCGGTGGTAGGGCCATGTAAGAGCCGTGATAGCTCAGTGTCCGGGCGCTCGCCTTTAATTCAATATACTCGAGCAACCTGAGTTCGATCCCCGGTGCCGGCACCAATGAAGTTTTTAACTTTAAGTGCTGATTTATCACGTGCTCCGCGGTGAAGGAAAAAACACCGTGATGAAACCTGCATATTTTCGAAATAATAAAAAAAAAAAAATATTTCGAAGATATGTGAAGTCCGCCAATCCGCAGTGGGGCCGCGTGGTGGACTATGCCCTCATACCCTCTGTATAGAGGAGGCCTTTGCCCAGCAGTGGGACATGTATAGGCTGTTACTTTACTTTTTTTAGGGCCATGCAACGGCTTTTGATGTTGCATGAATGGGCAGGTCCACTTCATTAAAAGCTGGCAACGCATTAACAACCGGTTATTATTTAACATCAGGTGAACCGCAAGCTCGTTTGCCACTTGTTCACATAAAAAAAGTAAAGAGATCAAACCTGACTTTTTGCTCTTTTTGCAATAAGATGGAGATTAATAAATTATGTTTTCTCCATTTAAATTGCGCTTAAATATTTCGTGCCGTATAAATTTAATACATATACAGAATAACATAAGTAATTTTGCACCTAAATTCTTTTCCTTCTAGAACCTGATCTTTTTATTTGAATTTTAATTAAATTTTGACGCACTCAACTGTCCAGACTAATCTGTCAGTGCAGACACGTTGCTGGGAGACCGCAAAACCCGATGCCCGACGATGCCCGCTTAATTGACTATTGTCCGGTTAAAACTAGTTATGCATTTCTACCTACGCTTTTTGAATTGTTGGGCGGGATGGTATTGAATTTGCACTCTTTGCAATTTCAGACTATGTTTGTTATTATGATATTTTTGTTACTAACATGAGTTTACTGTAATAAAACACTTGAATTGATATTAAGGCATTGACTCTTTGAGTATTGTTTAAAAATTCATAGTTAATTATTCTTTAATGTTCGTTTGATATTAAAACATGTTTAAAATAAAAAAAATAGGTATTTAAATAATGGTATAAATATAAGCAGATCTTTTATTTAAACAAATTGTCAATAGCCATCTATTGATTATATGTTTTATTTTAAATTATGATAGGTAAAATTTTTAAACGGAAGTTTTATAAGAAATTTAATTGTATTCTACTTGTACCATTTTCATCAATGACGCCGAATAGATAGATTTATGGTATTTGAATCTTTGAATTTGATGAAGAATTATTGAAGTTATGGCGTACCGAAAAATAATAATACAGAGAGACCTTTAAAAAATAATATAATAAATATAGACGTAATTATTTTATAAATACACCAATTTACTTTATTGATATACTTCTATATATATTGAATACACCTGTGATAACAGTTTGGATGAATATCGATTACTTTTCATCACTATTGATTTCAGAGATAAGTAGCAGCGTAAGTTTATGTTTCTTGTTTAAAGGTAATAAATCAACACCGCTGGGTATTCTCTATAACGTTGGTGCATGTTTCTCGTAATGCCTCTTAATATTCATTCTGACATACTTCTGTGATTATTTGTAATTTTAATAACCATTTATTTTTTTAAGAGAGTATTTGGAAAAGGAATATTAAAGGCATATCAATAACTGTCATTTAATCATCTTGAAGACTAATTCACGTACACACGCACACAAACGCAAACGTAATAGTACTTTACGTCAATCATACGTTAGACTGACGGCTTCGCCACAGTAAAATCTTCGTTCTGCCAAACATCTTATTGACATATTATGGTCGTTAGGGTCAGTAACGACCGGTTTCAATATTCTATCTACAGATAGGCTTGGTTACTAGCGGTAGGTATTGACATTAGCTCCGTGATACTTACGTCAAAATTCTAACTCCAGTAACCAAATTAATATGTAGATAGAATATTGTAAATAAAAACTCCTATCAAGAACTAGCTACTAATTGACTATCGTCGTACCTTAAGATGTTCAGGGGTGTTGCATTCGGAAGCGTATGAGCAATGGTAAGCTTTCAAATTCAGTTAAATTCTATTCACCTTTGCCTAAAAGAGAAACTCACTGTAACGGACCACAGTCGGCAGAAGCTCTTAGGTTTTTTATGCGAAAAGCTGCCAGGCGAGCAGACGGGTCTCCTGATGTTAAGTGAATACCGCCGCCCATGTACATCTGCTACACCCGAGGGTTACAGATGCGTTGACAACCTTTTGAAAATTGGGCTCCGGCTACCTCACTCACCAGACGAAACGCGAAAGTATTTGTCATACATCCACCTTACGCTGGTCTTTGTGAGGTCGTGGTACTTACCCGGACGGGCCTGCCCATTTGTGCAACAGCCGAGGCTGCTGCGTGGCCCTACCACCGTTTGTAATCAGGTAAATAGACCAATCAATCGATTCTCTCCTAGTCTTTGCCTTTCTTCTAGATCCAATTAAAACGTGATGACATTAAAGCGAGTTCACGTCCAAGCGTTTCAGTTGCTGCACGCATCGGGAGCAAACAACGCACGCCCGGATTTATAGCGTGGGCCATTTGATACGAGCTCCGGGCGGCGCGCTAACAGCTATCTTCCCAATTACGCCTCGGCGTGTGACTAATTGTGTCATTTATAATGACGGAGGGCCTAACAGCGGTCGCCCGTCATCGGTGGGGTGCGACTTAATTGTATCGGGAAATTCACGGAAGCCGTGAAGCGCGCGTCGCGATATAAAAGGTGTCGTGGAAATAAAAAGCTTGTCTGCCCCCCCCCCCCCCCCCCCCCCCCTCCACTGACGTCATTAAGCGCCGCCTTCGCCTTCATTTCACACGCGTCAGTGGGCCCGTCTCAAAATACGAGCCGAGTGTAGTGAGACGTGTTAAGCGAAGTAATGGCTTCGAGTCACCGCTTGCGCCGTCGACTGTACACGCGTTATTTCGCGCTTCGACGTTCGATATCTTTTATCGGGCCCGCGAGACTGCGTGGCGACAGTTCTGATGACGGAATGACATGAAAATAATGCTCTTCTACTCTTGAAATAATGTGACGTTTCAGAACAATGCTCACTCAGCTAGCGGCTGTACGGCTATGTCGTCGATTACCATAAGAAGAAAGTGTTGATTTACTATTGATAAAAAAAAAATGCCTTAAGCTATTTTATACCTCAAGGTGTGCTCTCAATTTAGTTATGTAATAGTGTAAATTATAAGGTTTTTGATGTTTTTATCCCAACAATTATATCGGTTCGATAACCTGCGACGAAAGATGATCTAGTTCCTTAAAACATGTACAATTCTTTTAACAAGAGTGGCTTATATAATCTTCAATTATCATGAAATCATTAGAATGAAAGCAACTGTTATCTATGTAAATATGAATTTAAATATTAAAACTAAAAAATAACTCTTTAAGTTTCATTTCTAAGTAGTCCAAACAATAATAAATTTCACAACCTAGATATAATATATTCAACAAAAATAAGGGGCGTATTAAAAGTATTGGTGGAGGAAATGTCATTTTAACCACACACTGACTCAACACAGAGATGCACACACACACACACACACACACGCACAAGTGCGTGCGCTCGTACTTACTTAATACATAATTCGTACTTAATACATAATTCTATTGTAATCCATACTCTAAGTATTAAAGTTGTTTGCTTATTGCTGTCGTAATTAAAATATCATAGCTAAATAATGTAAAACCAAATTGGCTTTAAGCTGTTGTAAGTAAGATGTATATATATGTATATATTTAACAAAGCGCTGGATTTTGATTCAAAATAAAATAAAAGTAAATATCTATGAACAATTTGTTAAGTCTTAAGCATACTCCAATAAGGGCGCCATTCCTCCACCATAAGATACGGAGAAGCGGAAGAAAGTAATTTAACTAATTACTTAAGAATAACATTTATTTAATATTATAACGCTAAAACGTCGCTTAATTTGAATTAAAGAATTGCCCTGTTAGCGACTTCGCTTTGCCTGCAAAAGTCACGTTATGCACCTCCCCCGCTCAAATTTCGGCGAGAGGGCGTCATTCACGAAGCGTAATAAACTACTTGGCGCTAATTGTATTATAACAAACTTGGCGTTAGGGTAAAGCCAAAGAAACGTTGCGTGTAATGAGTTTTTGCATGCTGCAGTTATCAAGAACTATATGATGGTGGAACATTTTGGATAATTTATGAATATAAAGATTTGAACGACCAAGTTAGATAGATACAGTAGTTTTATGACATGATGTTTTTTTTCTTAGTAATATTTATATATATAAAAAATATGCACATGGTCAGTGGCACGGATGGGTAGGTCCGTCGAGGTAAATTCCACGACCTCACAGAAGAATGGCGTAAAGTGTTACTTCTGCATTTTCGTCACCGCCAAGTGAGGTAGCCGTGGTCCACTTTATTTAAAGGTGATGTTACATGAACATTTGCAACCCTACGGGTGTTGCAAATGTTCATGGGCGACGGTTATCACTCAACAACTTTCTCACATTAAAAAAAGAATTAAAAGCAAAATAGTTTTTTGTTATAACTTAGTTTACTATTATCTAATATTTGCCTATTATCTAATATTTGCCTCATCAACTGAGG